AAAACCCACAAGGAAAAGACAATGGAGGTAGAAATTGGAGCGATGCATTTACAAGCCAAGGAACACTTGGATTGCCAGAAGACACTGGAAGCTAAAAGAGGCAAGGAGGGATTCTCCCCTAGATCCTTCAGTGAGAGCATGGCCCTACCAATGCCTTGGTATCAGACTTCCCGCGTCCAGAACGTGAAAGAATAAATTTCTGCTGTTTTAAGCCATCCCAGTCTGTGAGACTGTTATGGCAGCCAAGGGAAACTAATGCAACTAGTAGGTAGGAACGCAATTGATTTCTGCATATTGATCTTATGTCCTGAAAGCATGCTAACCTCAGCTGTTAGATCTAGTAACTTTTTTGTAGATTTCCTTGAATTTTCTGTATAGATGATTATGTCATTTCTGAATAAAAAAGATTTTACTTCAGGGCACCTGGGTGGGAGCCTGCTTCTTCCTCTGCCTCTCCCTCTGTTGCTCCCCCTGCTTGTGCTCTTTCCTGCTCTCTGTCAAATAAATAAATAAAAATCTTTAAAAAAAATAAAGTAAAAAAACAATTTTACTTCTTCCTTTCCAATCTGGATGCCATTATTTATCTTTCTTGCCTTATTGCACTGGCTAAAGCCTCCAGTATAATGCTGAAGAACAGTGGTGAGAGCAGATATCCTTGCCTTGTTCCTGATTTTAGGAGGAAAGCATTCAATCTTTTACTATGATGTTTTTACATGATGTTATCGTGTGTGTGTGTGTGTATGTGTGTGTAGATGCCTTTATGTGGTTGAAGAAGTTTCCTTCTATTCCAAATTTCTTGAGACTTTTTTTGATCAGAAATTTATATTGGATTTTTGTCAAATGTGTTTTTGATAGATGTTAAGATGATCATATGTTTTCTTGTCTTTTTGTTTTTTCTTTTTTAATTGTTAGAAATGTTTTCAGTGTTTCAGATGTTTACTCCACTTTGCATTTTTGGTCATGATATGTACTATCCTTTTTATATAATGTTGGATTTGATTTACTAAAATGTTATTAAAGGTTTTTGCATCTGTATTCATATGCAGCATTGGTCTATAATTTTCTTTTTTTTTTTTTTAAAGATTTTATTTATTTGAGAGAGAGAATGAGATAGAGAGAGAGAGAGCATGAGAGGG